AACATTCACATACCAAAAATTCTTGCTCTTTAGGTACTTGTTGGATATTTATTGGGCCCACAAGAAGTCCCTACTTGTGTTGAACCTCTAAGCTAACTTTGCAGAAGGGCTAGATTGAAAGTTTGGGGGTCTTTGAAACCTTGGCCCCCACAAAATTTGCTTTTCCACAATGTACTCCATCTAACCCAATTTACTGTTTTTTGGTCTTTATTCTCTCCCCACATGTATTGCCTTTGGATTTTAACAATATGTTTACAAATACCTTGGGGGATAAAAAAGCTTGACATAGCATATGAGGGGATGGTAGTTAGGACAACTTTGTGGTGACAATTTTAACCTCAACCCATTTGACCCACCCATACCCACCCACTTTAGTAAAGGGTCATTATAGGTCGAGTGAACATTTGGATCAAGGAAAAAGGGTCAGGGTGGGTTGGGTTGACGATACCCATTGAGTCAAAGTTCACTCTCGATATTTAGCTAATTAGATTTTTATGCTTTGAGGCAAGTGTTAAAAAAGAAGCTTCGAGAGAAATTTGAGGATCTTTCGGTGGCACAGTGACAAGTACCATCGATCTTGTTGTTGTCGATACCACAAATGTTGCTGTCATCGATACATCAATCCCGATTTCCTTCTGTTCTTCCTCCTTCCCTCTTTTCATCGTTGTTGTCGGGTACTGGATCTCGATTTCAAATCTGTTATTCTATCCTTCCTCCTCCTCCCCTCTTCTTATTCTGGCATTGGGCCAAATCTACGATGGCATGGCCGTTGATTACAGGAACCAGAGTGGAGGCGATGTATTTTCTGCAATTTTTTCATTTTTTATTTATATATACTAAAATTTTGTCATTTTCTATATTTTTTGGTCTTAGCTGAAATGATCATTTTGATTTTTTATATTTTAAGTATTTTTTCTATAATTTATTATTTTTGGTTGAAATATATAATTTTTGGAAAATCTTATCATTTTATGTATTTTATGCAAATCTTGGCTTTTTACCATTTTTCTGTTTTTCTACGATTTCTTAGTTGAACTATATATTTATTTTGAATTTTTATCAATTTATGCAATTTCTACTTTTTTGAAATATATATTTTAAAATTTTATCATTTTCCTTGCTTTCTATACTTTTTATTGTTTTTTTGCAATATTTTGTTTTTTCTTTGGAAATTTATGTCAAATTTTTCGTTTTTATTATTTCTTTGATTTTTTTTTTTGTAATTTTCTTAATATTTATAGTTTTTTTGGTATAATATTTATATTTTCTTAATGTTTGCATTGGGTTAGTGGGTTATATTGGTGGATCAAGGTCAAGGTGGGTTGTAATCCACTAATATCCAATAAATATAAATATGGGTGGCAATGGGTCAGTGTATCAATATGTGTGGGTTGGTAGATGCGACCCACCCATTTGCCAATCCTAGCACAGCTTTAATCATCTTTTCCTTGCCTAATGCGAAAGAAAATTCTTTTTCCATTGTTGACTTTATTTTCCACTCTCTCACACATAATTGAATATCTGCCTTTTTTACCTAAGTCTCCAAGTAAGCCCAAATAAGTAGAGAACTCTCCTTATACCGAGGATCCTAGACATTAACTTTTGCAGCTTGGGGTGGAAATTTTTGCTAAAGAAAATTTCATACTTCAAGATATTCACCTTTTAACATGAGACTTCTTCATACTTCTTTAGGACCTCCATTATCTCCATACCTTCAATCATATAGGCTTTTGAAAAGATGTACGAGTCATCTACAAAAAAGAGGTGAGTAATGACAGAGTAGGATTGATTAATTTGAATGCCTGAGATATCTCCAGTACTGTGAAGGGTCTGCAAAGAGAGAGAGAGAAGGCCTCAGAACATATTAGAAAAAGGTAAGGGACAGAGGGTCTCCCTCCCTGAGTCCTCTTGAGGGGGAAAAATTTTTACTTGCGCTCCCATTCACCAAAACCTGATAGGACACAGTAGAAATGCATTGCATAATCCAGTTAATGAAAACTTGCCCAAATCCCAATTTTCCCATTATGTTCTTCAAAAAGCCGCATTCAACCCAATCGTAGGCCATGCTCTTGTCTAGCTCGATCTTAATGAGACCCTGCCTTTTAGTTGAATGATTCATGTGGTGGAGGATCTCATGAGTAATTAGGATGCTATCAGTAATTTGCCTCCCAGGAAGGAAGGCATTCTTATTAGGTGAAGAATTTCGAAGCCCAAGATCCTACCTCTCCATATTTCTTATCATGTATATATATAAGTCGATCGGAGGTCTTGCTCCTTTCTAAAATCCAACTCCTAATCCAAAAGGAAATACAAACTTCTAAACTTCTAAATCCTATCTGTACAGGAAGTATACAAATCCAGGATCTCCTTGGTCTCTCGCGAGCCTTATCGCCTTATCTTCGTCCAATACTCCCCCTCAAGGTGGTGCATGAGGATTGCGAATGCCCAACTTGGGAAGGAAATAATCAAACTGTTTTTGTCCGAGAGCCTTTGTGAAAATGTCGGCAGCTTGTTCACCGGTACGTATATAAGAAGGCGCAATGGTGCCGGATTGGATCTCATTGCGAATGAAATGACAGTCAACTTCAATATGTTTGGTTCGCTCATGGAAGACAGGATTCGCAGCAATGTGCATAGTAGCTTGATTGTCACAAAATAAGCGTATAGGTTGAGGATGAGATATACCCAAAATAAACGTATAGCCACTTCAACTCACAACTAGCAGTAGCCATTGACCGGTATTCAGCCTCGGTAGAGGAACGGGAGACAATATGTTGTTTCTTAGTCTTCCAGGAGATGGGGGAATGTCCTAACTTGACAAAATACCCAGTAAGAGAGCGACGAGTTAGAGGACAACTCGTCCAGTCGGAATCACAATAGGCATATAATTGTAGATCACTATTAGAGCGCAAAAATATTCCTTGACCAGGACGGCCTTTTAGATAATGAACTACCCGCAATGCCGCATCCCAATGATCAACACGAGGACACTGCATAAATTTAGCCAAGACATGGATGCAATAACTGAGCTCCGGTCGTGTAATGGTTAAATAAATCAAACGGTCCACAAGACGTCGATATCGTTCAGGGTCATCCAGGAGTGCTCCGTCAGCAAGGGCAAGCTTATGATTCTGAGTAATAGGAAAGTGAACAGGTTTGGACCCCAATAAGTCAACTTCTGTAATAATATCAAGTGCATATTTTCTTTGGCAAAGAAATATCCCCGATGATCCGTGAATCACTTCGATGCCCAAAAAATATTTAAGAACACCCAAGTCCTTCATGTGAAAACACCGGTTCATATACTGTTTAAATTTGCGTATGAACTCCAGGTTATTCCCACCAACGATTAAGTCATCAACATAAATCAGGACATGCAAGACAATCCCATTCTTGTGAAATGTAAATAAGGAATAATCGAAGTATGACTATTTAAACCCAATGGTTTTCAAGGCAGCACCTAACTTAGAGAACCAGTTCCGGGGGGCTTGTCGTAGACCATACAAAGATTTTCGGAGTTTGCATACCTTTCTAGTCCCGGAGGCCAAAAAACCTAGAGGAGGTTTCATATAGACCTCCTCATGGAGATCACCGTGCAGAGAAGCATTGTGGACATCCATCTGATGCAATTCCCAATGTTGGGCCACAACAACTGCTAAGAAGGTTCAAACTATGACCATTTTAGCCACAGGGGTAAAGGTTTCATTGTAATCAAGACCTTCAACTTGAGTGTTGCCCAGGACTACCAACCGTGCTTTAAATCTTTCAATGGATCCATCAGAGTTGTACTTGATCTTGTAGACCCATTTACACCCAATTGCCTTTTTTCCAAGTGGGAGGTCTTCCAAGGTCCATGTCCCATTGTCTTCCAAAGCCTGTATCTCTTGGCGCATAGCCTCGTGCCACCGGGCATCAGTCATTGCCTCAGAGAAATGAGTAGGTTCTCGGCCTGCTGTAATAGCTGCCAAGAAATGTTTGTGTTTCACAGAAAAATTATCATACGTCACATAATGAGTTATGGGATAAGGAGTACCTGAGGACTGAGTTGATGCAGGAGAAACAGCAGAGGGGTCTAATCGACGAGTTGAGTGTGTGACAAAGTCCTGCAAATAGTTGGGGGTCCGCTTTTCTCGATGTCCGCGGCCTAACAACTCCGTGGTGGGCTGAGGAGTAGTTGGAGTTTCATTATTTCTACAATCTGTATGGCTCATTGTCTCATCAAGAGGACCTGCCTCCTCATCATTACCCATGTTCTGATGTTCTTCTTCATTGATCGTGTTGCTCCCCCTGACTTTTATATGAGGTGACTCAGATACCATGTCAGGAGGAGTGGCCCAAGGCAACCCGATCATTTTCTTTGGCTACGGGAGGATTGGTTACTAAGGGTTGATGTTTCGGAGTGGAAAAGGGAAACTCGACCTCACTAAACCCCACGTCTTGTGAGATGAAGTAATCACCGGACTCAAGGTCGTACAATTTCCACCCCTTTTTCCCAAAAGGGTACCCAATAAAGACACATTTCCTACTCGTAGTGGCAAATTTGTCACGGACCCGAGTACGCGAAAAACATAAGCAACCAAAAACTCTGAGATGTTTATAAGAAGGACTTTGTCCAAATAACATCTCGTAAGGTGTTTTACCACCAAGAAGGGTTGAAGGTGTTCGGTTAATTAAGTATCCTGCAGTCAAAACACACTCACCCTAGAAATTGATCGGAATATGTGCTTGAAACCTGAGCGCTCTGGCTACATTCAAAATATGACGATGCTTCCTCTCCACATGACCATTTTGTTGTGGTGTCCCAACGCAGGAAGTTTGAAATAAAATTCCTTGCTCGTCAAAGTATGGCTTCAAGGATTTAAACTCTGTTCCATTATCACTTCTCACCACCTTACATTCTTATTAAATTGTCGTTCAATCATGACACAGAAATTTTTGAGTGTTCTACCCACTTCACTTTTTTCAGCCAACAAATAAATCCAAGCCGCTCGAGAATAATCATCGACAATTGTCAGAAAATATACAACACCACAAGATGCAGGTACTCTATAAGAACCCCATAAGTCACAATGAATTAATGCAAAACAATCAATCACTTTATTGCTGCTTTGAATAAAGACATCTCTAGTTTGTTTTGCCTTCAAACAAACATCACAAGTTTTGTTCCTACTATTACTGATATTAAGAAGTAAGTTAATCGTTTGATAAGAAGGGTGTCCCAATCTCTGATGCCACAAATCGCATGATCCAATTCCATCTGTCTTGTAAGCTTGAACCGGTGCCACACCCTTGAAGACATAGACCCCATCACGTTGTTCACCCACACCAATCAGAGTCCTCGAGATGCGGTCCTGTATCACACATAACTTATTAGTAAACATCACAATATAAATTATATCACGAAGTAACCAATCTACTGACAATAAATTACAATTGAGTTTTGGGACATATAATATCTGCAGCAATTTAAAATTATTTCCTAGTTCAATAGTACCTTCTTTCACGGCCTCGGTGTGTGCATCGTTGGGTAACCTAACAGGACAAGGTGCAACATCACAAGTGTCGATGAGCACATTTAAATTCCCTGTCATGTGATGTGATGCCCTAGAGTCAACAATCTATTCAGTGGAGTAATTCTTACCAAAGAGTTTTTCATTAGTCCTAGTTTTGTAAGCATTAAGCATGCTTACAAGAGTCTGCCATTGCTCATTATTAAGTCCATTCAGTCCGGTCCTGTCTCTGTCAGTCATAGCTGCATTAGCAGCCACCTCATGCCTCGCCGATGATTATGCAACATGAGCCTTTGTCGTACCTCGGCCACATCCGCCAGAGGGTCCACCCCCTTTTCCTCGACCTGTTCCACGCCCGGTCGACGTACCGCGGGGTCTGTCTCCCCACCAATCAGGGTATCCAATTAAGTGGAAGCAATTATTTGTTTCATGGCAAGATCGACCACAATTGTTACACACAATTGTTTTGTCTTTTGAAGCAACTCTACTATCTCGTGATGTCTGCGAAGCTTGTGCTGCAAAACCAACCGCATCTGCCCGTTCCTCTTTACCTCGTGCCAATGATTGATGTCGATCTTTTTGTATGATCATTGAGTAAACTTTGTTCATATTTGGAATTGGCTCCATACTCAATATGTTGGAACGCACAGTCCCAAATATATCGTCATCCAAACCCATCAGAAAGTGGTGGATTTTTTCTTCTTCTCTTTCTTTGACCAATTCGGCTGCCGTTCCACACCTGCACCCACATATACACACGGGCACCTTAGAGTAGCTTCCTAATTCATCCCACATTGCTTTCAATTTTTCGTAATATGCAACCACTGTTTGTCCATGTTGCTTGCAATTAGCAAGGTCGAATTTAATCTGATAAATCCGAGGCCCATTGCCGATCGAGAATCGTTCCTTCAAATCATCCCAAAGCTCTTTGACTGTCTCCATATATGTGATAGTTGAACGCAGTGATGGATCAACAATATTGAAAACCCATGCCACCAACATCGAGTTCACAATCCACCAGAGATCGATCTCCGGAGTGTCGTTCTCCGACTTTGTGACCGTCCCTTCGATGAAACCGATTTTGTTTTTGGCACGGAAAGCAGTTCTCATCGTCTTTGCCCATTCGTCGTAGTTATCTCCTTTCAAGACCACCAGACTGATAATAATTCCAAGATTACCTGATGGATGCAAATAGAAAGGAGAAGACAGTCCAACAGACTTACTTGAGCTTTCACCGTTCTTGTCGTAGTTGGCAGCCATGGTAACCGATCAGTAAGATTTGTCTTTAAGTGATCGATTATTGCAAGAAACACGTCGAGTTTGATTGAGGAGAAGATGGAGGATCATAATGAGGCTCACGAAGAAATCAGAACACGCGAGCCCGCTGATAACGAGTCAAACCCGAGCTTCTACTTGGTTTCCTCCGATCTCACAACACCGAGCAAGAACCAGGTCTCAACTGATGAAGGATGGACTAAAAGAGACTTCTCGGTTTTTTTTTTTCACTTTTTCTAAATAGAGGGCAGTAGAAATATCATAAACCCAAAAAATCTGCAGCGATGGTGTCTTCTGGGTCGGAAAATTCAGAAACTCTAAAAAAAATATCTGCAGCAATGGTGTCTTCTGGGTTGGCGATTTCGGATCTGGCACGTCAACCCTCTATATATTCGCGAATTGTTCCTGAACGGAAGTATTAGTGGCGAGGGTCAAGCGAATGGTACTGCAGGGATGTCTTCTTTGGCTATACAGGGGAGCTTTACACTGCCGAAGAGTAACAAGCCAGTCGATGAGGTGTGGAAGGAGATCATTGCTAGTGTCTCTGCTCAGCAATGATAGAGGAAGATGATTAAGAACAGGGAGTTTGCCCGCTTTGATACCATGAAGAATTTCGAAGCCCAAGATCCTGCATCTCCATATTTCTTATCATGTATATATACAAGTTGATCGGAGGTCTTGCTCCTTTCTAAAATCCAACTCCTAATCCAAAAGGAAATACAAACTTCTACAGGATGTATACAAATCCAGGATCTCCTTGGTCTCTCGCGAGCCTTATCGCCTTATCTTCGTCCAATATTAGGGCTGATGTAGTTAGTGAGAATGGGCTTGAGTATGTTGGCTAGGATCTTAACTATTATTTTATAGATGGTGTTGCACAAGCTAATGGGTCTGAATTGAATGGCATTATCTGGGGTTTTTCTCTTTGGAATTAACACAATATAAGTCTTATTTGTATCAGGGTGGAGCTTCCCCAACGCAAAAAATAAAAAATAAAATAATAATAATAAATAAATAAATCACAGCCAAAGAGACTAGGTTCATCCATGAGAGTTATTTTTTTATTTCTTTCCCTCCAAACAATGGATTGATGAAAAATTTTTGTGTTTTTACCCAGTTGCAGCCAGTTGAGTCTTGATTTTTGAGCCCATAGTATTTCTTCTCTTTTGAGTTCCAAATCAAGTTTTTCCTCTAATTCGTTCACTTTTGGCTAACTGTAAGAGCAATCTGCATTGAGTTTTTCAAAGGCTAATTCTCCCTGCAAAGCCTTCATATTTTTCTTCTGAGCTCTCCCAAAAACTTTCTTTCTTATTCCAATTGATAAGTCACACAGGCTTTAATGCAGTGGGTCTTAGCCACAATTTTTAGATGCATCTAAGTGACACGTGTCTAAAAAAAGTAATGCATCTAAGTCACACAGGCTTTGATGAAGCGAAATCAGCATTATTGAAAAGGTCTATTCAATTGACATTTGGTTATGGATCTATTCCAATGACACGATTTCCATATTGTTTATACTTTCTCTTCCTTTCCCTTTCCTTGCCTACCTTTCTTTAAAACCATACACAACCTCAGGGAGGGCAATTTCCTGAATGCCTTGATAAGGAAATGCAATTTTCTAAGGCTATGTTTGGATTGAAGGAAAAGGTAAGGAAAGAAAAGGAAAAGTAGGAAAACCCATACAAGGTTTCTAAATGTTTTCCTACCTTTCTTTTTCTTTCTTTATTTTTTCCTCCAAACCAAATACAGCCTAAATGTCAAATATTTGTGGAGTTGTTGGAATTAAGTTTTGTTTGCTCTCCTTGAAGCAGATATTTAAACTAGATAATCAACGTATATGTGGTTTTCAAAATTAGGGTGGTCTCTTGATTTAAAATTTTACCAACCCGGATTTTGTTTTGTTTCCAAATGATTTCTTTCAAAATTTTTTCAGTATATATATAGACTAAGTGGGAGAATGGAAGATTTTTGCAGTCAACTAATTGATTTTGAACTGATTTGGAAAAATCAGGTTAAAAACACTCTAGTGTATATGTTGATCAACCATATATCAGATGGTTAAGATTATTTGCAAGCTTTTGTTGTTTGGACCATCCGATTGGTGAGTCTGACCTCTATGGATGGAGAATTGGTATGATTCTTTTAACCAGTTTAACTGTATGGGGTTGGGGTTCAAGTTATCTATGATGGGTGAACAATCTAGACCATTGATTCTTATGTTACCCTATGGTGTCACTTCTTGGTACCTATATATAGACACCTATGGTGTTAGGTTTCCCATCACTTCACATATAAGGAGCCAAAAGAGGATCTGATTGTAATTTTCATTCACAGGAGCAAAAGCAAAGATACAAACGAAGGTAGCTACAAATCTGCTGCAATGGCTAGAAGTACATACCAATTTATTTTTGGTTTATTAACTGAATCTGTCAATTTTGGAGTTTTTCCGGTAACTCTATCAAATTTGGATTAATTAGAGGAAATCATATTCTAAAAAATTATTTTATTGTTTTGATTCTTGAACATAGTTGTAAAAGATGGGATGGGGAGGACTAAGAGGTGTTTGAGCCGCGAGACTCGGGCCTTATTTTGTAGTATTTGTCGACGAGCAGGTACGGTGCTTTTACCTCTGACATTTGGTGTGTAAAAGATTTTGGGAGAATAACGGTTGGGCCAGGGTTAGAATTTGTAGGTTTAAAGTACTGTTGGGTTGGGTAGGTGCCAGCTTGGAATTGATGTCAATTTAGAGCGGATATTGATGTATAGAGTGTGGGTTGTTGACATTTTGAATGTTTATAGCTTTATAGTGGAAATCAGAAATTTGTATTGGGCCTGTCCGTAATTTTCCAAAAGATTTTTGGATAAATTTCTGAAACCTCCTTGATTGTTGCTGAAACCTCCTCTAAACTTTAATAATTGCAATCACTACTTATTCTGAATTTTCTAAGTTGCAACTTTACCTTTGAGTGATTGATATTAAGGCTGTGTTTGGTTGCAGGAGATTGGCTTCAGTCAGTGCAAGGCCCATTTGAACACCGTTTGAACAACCTTTACAGCCTTGCATTGAGAATATCTCCATACCTATGTACTTCATTTCATAGGGAGATATTCCCAATGCAAGGCCATGAAGATTGTTTGAACGGGCTTGGCATTGACTAAAGTTGTACACTAGTTGTAGTGCAATTTTGGCTCAGTTTGGAAGGAGTATAAATACAAATATGTAGAGTGCAAAACCTTATATTTTATATTATTTAATTTTCTATCTGTTTGTATTGCACATATTTGTATTTGTACTCTTTCCAAACTAAGCCTTTATTTGTATTAGTATAAATGCATTGCAGTGAAAATGTAAAAAATGCAAATTCTTGTTTAATTTTGTTTTAGATTTTACTTTATTCTCATTTACTTCATTTGTACTGCAATCAAACAAAATATGCTAAAATTTGAAACAGAAAAAATGTCAGAATTTACAATCAAATGCAGCCTTAAGAAAAAATTTAGAAAATAAATCAATTTCAGAAAAGGGATTGAAAGGGTTTTAGGTAGTGATGCACATAATTTTGGAAAATAAACATTTTTGTTAAAAGTAATTTCATGGGTGGACATTTTCATGCCTTCTTTTAGAAAATTCTACTAAAAGATGTCTACTTGCAACTGTATTAGAAAGTTCAGGAAATATATTGTAATTATCAAATTCTACTAAAAGAGGTTTTAGCAATATTCATAGATCTTTTGTAAAGATTCACCAAATTAAACTCGACCTAAATCTAGCACCTGTTTTGGCACTTGGTTAAATTAAAATGAAAATTGAAAAACGAAAGAAACGAATTGAAGTTTAGTAGCAGAGGAAACATTAGAAGATCAAAAAATTTTAGATAAACCAAAGAAAAGATTAATAGCAGAAACGAATTGAAGTTCTTAGATATTAAATCAATAAATAGGGAAAAACAAACAACAAAAACTTCAATTAAAACAAAGAAAGCAAAGCAGATGGGTTGTACCTGAGAACAAAACGATATTGTTTGTAGGTTCCTGTAAATGAAAACGGATGAGTTATGGTGGAGTAGAAGAAGAAGCAGCAAAAGAAAGCAAAAGAAGAAGAAGAAGAAGAAAAAGGAGGAGGGAGGAAAATACCCATATTGAAGAGAAACATGCACAGAGGAATGAGGGTTTTCTTCGAAGAACTCTTATTATTTTCTCAATTGTGCGCTTCTTGGAACACGCATGATATAGCTTAGACAGTCCGGGATTTGTATAAGCTCGAGTTGGAGCTTCTCAATTTTGGGGATTTTCGGGCTTGTACAAGCTTTTTGGGCAGCCCATCCTCTCGGCTTCTTGTCTTATTTTGCCAAACGGAAAAAGCTCAAAAATTGAACTTTCGGGCTTTTAGAAGCCCGATGGGCCTGCTTTTATTTTGCAAACCACCGAAAGATTTGCCAAACGCAGCCTTTGTTAAGCCCAATGGTGCATGACCGACAACGTTACTTTTCAGAATCAGTTTCAACGTTAAGAGATTCATCTTACCCCATATAGTCGAACCAGTTGGGTCGAACTTTTGAAACCGGGTCAAATTTAATAATTCCCATTTCAGATTGGAATTGATCAAAATGAGCAAAAACCCGTTCTCTGGATCAAAATGAAAACGATCCTGATTCAAAACAGAATGTTTGCCTGCTTTTAAAATAAACTTTTACGTTTTTAGAATTGGTCTCTGATGGGCCTGCTTTTACTTATGCTGAGATTTTATTGGTGTAATGTAATGTATGGGCCTGCTTTTATTGATCTAATGTATGGATTTGCTTGAAGGAGTTCAGATCAGATTTCTTTCTCATAGAACGTTGTAATCGCACATTGAGAACATCTCCCATACTTGTATATTTTCATTCATGGGGAGGTGTTTTCAATGGCCAAACAGGCATTGAAGAATAAGCTGATAACCGATTTTGTTCATAGATATAATTGAAACCAATCAGTGGGAGCCAAAATCCCAGAAACTGCACCTTTTAAAAACAGCACGCATTGACAAACAAACCCTTAATTGTTAAATGCATGGCTTTAAAAAACGATTCAGAAACGAAATTGTTCTGGCCACTAGTTTCTAGGACGATGGTTAGACCATTTGGTTCGAACGGATGGCCTGTTCTAACAAAAAAATTAAAAAATAATAAAAAATAATTAAAATTAAAAACGACCAAAAACCGTTGAACGGGTGGGTCGACAGGTCAATGAATCGACAGCCCAGGTCAACGGGTCGTTGACTGATCCAATGGTTTTGGCCCAGGGACTGGGTTTGGAATAAAATAGAACCGATTGCCTGGACGATTCCCAGGCCGAATGGTCTGACCATCCGGAACAATGGCAGTTCAAAAACCATGGTTAAATGTACAATAAGATATTCTAAAAGTAAAAACCCTATGAACACTCTGCAAGCATGGGCATCCAGCAGCAAGTGCTAGGCCCATTATCCTAAAACAAATTCTAATTGACTTGAAAGGAGTTGATTCTTTATCTGAAAAAAAAAAGAAAGAGCAAAAGAAGTTGAAATAGTTTTTTGGTAAGAATTGTTAATAAAAATAAGTTTCAGTTCATGTTCTTATATAGAAAATTTTATTTATTTATTTAACAGAAAGACAGACGTTAATAATAACAAAATTTAACTATTCCCATAATATTTTATAATTATTTTTATGTTTACAGCCTTTGTATTTGTTAGATCATGGGTGGATCACTAGCAACTAGACTTGTTCATGGGTCGGGTAGCCCGATGGGCCGGCCCAGCCTGGCCCAAGCCCCGGACGGGCTTGCACATAGATATTATCCCACGGGCTCAACCTCAGGCCTAAAAGCCCGAGCCCGACTGTTTTACGAGCTAGACTCGGGATTTGCCACAAAAGCTCGGCCTAGCTTGACCAAGTGTAACCTTTTCTAAACCCTAGTCGAATAACCCTTTCCTATTCCCTCTCTTCAGTCTTCATCTTCTATCTTCTCTCCTCACTCTCACTCTCAAGAACTGGCGCGAACCCAAGCAGCCACCACTCTCAGTCTCAGAGGCGACACACGAGCTCAGACACCGGTCGTCTCTCTCTCTCTCGCCACCAGTCCTCTCTCTCGTCTCTCTCGCAATTCTCATTCTCAATTTCTTACTCATTGTCGCATATTATCACTTTCTCAAGAACCGGTGAACACAAAGCACCAACGAACTCAAGCACCGATGCTAGCCGTGCCACTAGTGAACTCAGTCGTCCCTCTCTCCGGCGGTGAGTCCAATACTCCTATATTCCTCAGTTTTGTACAAATCATGCATTTTGTAGTCTGTAATATGTACAAATCATGCATTTCTCAACTTTGTTAGCTCGAGTGCATAAGTTTTGGGCTTATCACTTATGAGTGAAATCACAACTGCATTGAAGTTAAACCCATTTGCCATCTGTTAAAGACTTGAAGTAAGAACAAACTTAGAGAATTTTTTAGAACAAAAGTTGTGTGATTCAGGTGTTGCTTGGTTGTATTGAAAAAACTGTCACTGGGTGGACTACAATTTTCCACTTATTGAAAAAACTGTCACTGCAATTTTCCATCAATTTTTGGATCTTTTTTGATAAATATCAACTGCCCTACACAAGAATAAGAAGAAAAGAATTTTGATCTCAGATTTCCGTTTTCAGATTTTTTTTTTTGATAAATATCAGTTTTCGGATTTTTTTTGATAAATATCAACTGCCTTGCACAAGAATAAGAAGAAAAGAATTATGATTTCAGATTTCTGTTTTCGGATTTTTTTTTTATAAATATCAACTGCCTTACACAAGAAGAAGAAGAAAAGAATTATNTTATGATTTCAGATTTCTGTTTTCGGATTTTTTTTTTATAAATATCAACTGCCTTACACAAGAAGAAGAAGAAAAGAATTATGATTTCAGATTTCAGTTTTCGGATTTTTTTTTTGATAAATATCAGTTTTCGGATGTTTTTTAATAAATATCAATTGCCTTACACAAGAAGAAGAAGAAAAGAATTATGGTTTCAGATTTCAGTTTTCAGATTTTTTTTGATAAATATCAGTTTTCGGTGGTTTAAGAATATATGCTTGTCTTGTCAAATCTTCACTAAAAGAAAAGTGCAGATTTCTTTTAGTTTTTTTATTTAATATATGCTTGACTTATTGATAAAATCAGAATGTATTATGCAGGTTTTTTCTTATTTAAGAATTGGCATGTCAATGGCAAGTGAAAGTGCGGTGCAGGAGTAGATATAGTAGATGATGACTATCAAGAGTATGATCAGACTTCCAGTAAGAAAAGATTGACATCTAAAGTGTGGGAAAAAATGGAAAAGATTAATTCGGAGAAGGCACAGTAAGCATTGCAAGAAGATCTTACAAGGTAAATCAAATAAGAGAACTACTCACTTAAAGCATCATTTACAACGTTGCCCTAGATGTACAATTCAGGATATTAGACAGTACAAATTAACTACTCAATCAAACACTGATAGTAGTACTTTTAAAAACTACAAGTTTGATCAACAAGAGTTTCATAGGGCATTATTAGTTTTTCTTGTATGTGGAAAACACCCTTTTACTACTATTGAAGAACCTAGTTTTAGATTCTTTATTCAATCTATAAATCTTCAATTTAAAAATGTGAGTAGGCATACTACTAAAAGGGATATCGTTTCTAGCTATGTGAAAGAGAGAGATGGTGTGAAAATTGATTTGTCTAATATACTTGGTCAAATTTGTTTAACTTCTGATAATTGGAGATTTGAGCACACTGATAATGAATTCATGTGTATAACTAATAATAATTGGAAGTTACAAAAAAGAATTATTCGCTTTAAAGCTTTGGCACCTCTTTTTTATGGACCATCTTTAGCAGATGAGGTGGCCATGTGCTTAAGTAAATGGAGTATTGATTAGAAAATTTTTAACATCACATTAGATAATGCTAGTTACAATGATGTGATGGCTAACTCTTTGAAATTGAGATCTTTAATACATAAATCTTTGGTGTGTAGTGGTGATTTTTTTCAAAGTTTGTTGTTGTAGTCATATTTTGAATCTTATTGTGCAAGCTGGTTTGAACATTGTTGATGATGTTGTTGCTAAGATTTGTGATGGTGTGAAAAATATAAAGAAATCAATTACTTGAAAGCATAGGTCTTATGAACTTGCTGAAAAAGGTTTTCACTTAAACCCAACTAGAAGATTGAGGTTAGACATGTGAGTAAGATGTAATTCAACTTATTTGATGCTTGAACATGCCATATATTATAAGCAAGTCTTACAACATTGGGGGCAAAGGGATAATACTTTCAAAATGTTTATACTTTTGGCAGAAGAATGGGAAAAGATGGATAAACTTCACAAATTCTTAAAGGTGTTTTATGATGTTACTTGCATGTTTTCTGCCACTAAGTACCTTACTTCAAACATTTACTTCAACGGAGTGTGGATGATTCATAGGCATTTAATGGATATGAGTAAGGAATCTCATAATTTTATGATTAACATGGTTAGAAATATGAAGGAGAAATTTGATAAATATTGGGCTGAATATAGTATGATTTTGTCTTGTGTTGCAATGTTGGATCCTCGTTGTATGCTTAGGTTAGTGGAATTGTTTTAATAAACTTTATGGTAATGATTCCAAAGAACATGTTAATGCTATAACTAGAACTCTTCATGATTTGTTTGATGAATATAAAGAAAATTTTTCCTCGACCTCCTTTGTTGGATCTTCAAGTCAAATTGACATGAGCGAGGGAAATGATGATGGTGATGGATTTGAGGATTATGAACAATTTTTGAGTTCAAAAAGAAAGACTGAAAATGTAAAAACTCAATTAGACCTTTACTTTGAGGAACAAAACCTTGATATCAAGGTAGGTGTTGATGTTTTGGAGTATTGGAGTAAGAGTTCACTTGGGTATCCTGAATTGGCATCAATGGATCGAGATATTTTGGCTATTCCTATTTCCACAGTTGCATATGAATCCGCATTTAGCATTGGAAAGAAGGTGATTAATCATTGGAGAAGTTCACTTAAATTCAAGACAGTTCAAACTTTAGTTTGTCTTGAAGATTGGCTTCGTGCACAAGGCTTTGTATTAGATAATTTTTTATTAAAATATATGATTACATACTTCATTTAATTTATTTTAATAGTTTTTCCAATTGTATGCAGGGGGATCAAGCTTGTTAGGGGCTCTTTCAGGATCTTCAAGTTTGTTAGAAGAGGATGAAGGATCAAATAGTAATGATGATGATAATGAAGATGTTAAAGTTGATGATATGTTTTAGGTATTATAATCACAT